TATCCCCTAAAGGGCTACCTTTCGTGACATGCTAACAACTTCACCAGACACAGGGGCGGACAATTGGTGGTTGGTTGGAGGACAGGCGGCGGGGAAGAGGAAGAGCGAGCGCAGCGATCCCAGCGCGAGCACCGAGTACTGCGCCTGCCACGCAAATCACACCAGCGCGTACATCCAACCCCTCGGCAAGCACCAGGTACCGAGCCAGCCACGCAAATCACACCGGCAGGGCTGCGGCGACTGCAGGGGCGCATCCAACAACCCCTTGGAGAGCACCAGGTACCGCGCCTGCCACGCAGATCACACAGGCAGGGCTGCGACCCCAGGGCGTGCATCCAACCCTTTTGGAGTCCCTTAAAGAGCGCCAATTACCGTGCCTGCCACAGGGCTGCGGCGACCAAGCGACCCCAGGGTACATCCAACCCCTTGGAGAGCACCAAGTAGCGCGCCTGCCGCGCAAATCACACCGGCAGGGCTGACCCCAGGGTGTGCGTAGCACCAAGTACCGCGCCTGCCACGCAAATCACACCGGCAGGGCGTAGCACCAAGTACCGCAACCTGCCACGCAAATCACACAGGGCAGGGCTGCGGCGAAAGTCACCCCAAGGCACACCCAACCCCTTGGAGAGCACCAAGTACCGCGCGTGCCGTGCAAAATCACACGACCCCAGGCACCAAGTACCGCGCCTGCCACGCGAATCGCACCGGCAAGGGCTGCGGCGACCAAGCGACCCCAGGGCGTAGGAGAGCGCCAAATACCGCGCCTGCCACGCAAATCACACAGGCAGGGGCGGTCCGCTTGCCTCATGCTTCTTGTGCTGCAAAGCGATCATCTCGCTCCCCCGCCAAGCCCTCTGTTGTTAGCCAGAAGTAAATACGACCGTCGCAAGGAACTTCTTATGGTCCAGGGCGCCACCCACCTCTCTCCAAGAACTGAACTTAAATCAAGCCTATGCCAACTATCAAACTAGCAACGCCGTGCCCCTGTACAAAATCCAAAGCGGGTTTCAGAAGAACTTGGGCCTCTTCCTCTGGAACATCTTGCCAAGATCATCTCTGCAGTGTCTTGTTGGTTCACGCTTCCGTAGTCCCGCCAGGTGTCTTTGGCGCAGCCCTGCCTCCTGGAGTCAACCTCCAGAATGTGTACATCTGGTGTGGGAATGTCCTCTCTTGTGTCTCCTTCACTGGCTGTTGCCACCAAGTTGAATCGCCCCGCTGTCTGAAAGCTCTCAACAAAATTGAGCTCGGTGACACGATGTTGACGCCAGCCGGAAACTTCATCTGAGGTGATGGGAACTTTCTGCGAGGAAGGTTGTGATGCCTAATCAACCTGTCATCATCAAATTGCCACATATCTTTGTCAGCACCTGTAACATCTGGATCTTCGTCTGAGTCCATTCATCCTGCTGATCACCTGCTGCCAAGTTCAAGGCATGTTGGCCGTCACGGAAGGCCGTGCTCAAAGCATAATCTATCTCCATCTGATGTTTGACACCGTTGCAAATTGCAGCGCGCAAGTTTTGGGGGTATCTGGCAGCCGGCGCGGACCTGAGGCGCCAATGCCATGAACCAGGGAGTTTTGGGGGTTCCGGCAGCAAGGCGGACACTCTTAGAAAGCATTTACAACCCCTAACAGTAGCCTGTTTGGGGAAGTACAGAAATCACCTGGGAGACAAATGAATAGAAATGCTGGAAAGGGGAAAAGGGCGGATGCCAGCAGTGCAGGCACCGAACCCGGAAAACAAAAGTAAACAAACCACATGGGAAACAAATTAATCGAAATGCTGCATGGCCAGCGGAAAAGGGCGGACACCAGCAGTGCAGGCACCGAACCTGGGAGACAAAAGTAAAGAAATCATTTAGGAGACAAACGAATTGAAACGCTGCATGGCCAGCAGAAATGGGCGGACACCAGCAATGACAGAAAGGGCGGACACATCTTAAGAAAGAATTGAGAAACCCTACATAACGGCAAACTCCTTGGGGAATGAATAGAAATGTTGCATCGCCAGCGGAAAAGGGCGGACACCAGCAGTGACACATCTCGAAGACAAATGAACAGAAATGCGACATGGCCACCGGAAAAGGGCCGACACCACCAGCGACAGACTTGGGAGACAAATGAATAGAAATGCTACATGGGCCAGCGGAAAAGGGGAAATGCTACATGGCCAGCGGAAAAGGGCGGACACCAGCAGTGACAGACCTGGGAAACAAACGAATAGAAATGCTACATGGCCAGCGGAAAAGGGCGATCTTCTGAGTTGCATGCCACGCAACAAGGTTTCCACTTGTGTCTTCGCTCGCGCGCGCCTCAAACCAGGGAGGGCCGCGTGCGCAACCAGAGCAATGGCTAGCAAAAGGGCGTGACCGTCTACATGTCTATGAACTTGGACTAGGACTTCGAGAACCTGGATCGGTGAGCTGCCTCTGCTTTACCAACATTGGTAGCGGAGCGTGGCACGCTCAAGGCCCGCTCCAGGGGATGGACCTTCTCGATGGCTGGGGGCACCATTGAAGCGATGGATACCTGCATCCCGGTCTTCAACAACCGCGTCGACTACAGGGAGTGGAGACAACGCATCATGCTCTGCAAGCGCAAGCTGGCGCTACAGGGCAAAGAGAAGGAGGCAATCTTGAACCTCCTGACCAGTCTTCATGGGGTGGCCTGGAAACAGGTGGAACACCTGAGAGTGTTGTGGAGTCCTCCGACGGCTTCGAGAAGGTACACCGCCTTCAAATATGATTGTCGGGTCGAAATGCCGAGAGCCTTGGAGAAGTTCTTCTATCAACTGACGAGGAGGGGAAACCAAACTCTCCAATCGTACTGCTCAGATCACAAAGAGCAGTTACGTGAAATAGAAAAATTCGGGATCCAAATCCTGGACAGCGTTTCGGGTCGGATGTTGCTGAGAAGGAGCCGGTTGGCCCGTGCGCCGCGCGAGTCCGGTCGGCGCAGGCCGCGATGCAAAGAATCTTGGGCTGATTGAAATCTGGATGTCATGGCAACAATCGCCTCATGTCCAAAAAATGGCCTATCTTGGAGAGAAGACACCAAGTCACCCGACGAGCACTGGAGCTCTCACTATGCTACGTGATCCTACAATCAATCGGAGCACCAACGTGCGAGGTTACAGTCCTGTTCAATGGGTGCTTGGCTGCACTCCACATGTTCCGGGTCTTCCAACTGAGGAACTCTTGGCGCCATCCAGATTGGAGCCTTCAGAGGAATTTCTCAACAAGCTGCAGAACCAGAAAGCTGCCGCCAATGCTGTTTTCGCAGCAGATGTGGACACCAGGCTACGACGTGCCCTCAACCGCAAGTACACCGGTCAACTGGCCATCTATCAACTTGGAGACTTGTGCTACTACTGCCGTGATGGTCCAGGAGGCATCGGTCCCAAACTTCTTTGGAGAGGACCGGCGCGAGTGGTCATGGTTGAGCAACTTGAGGCAGGAAACTAAGAGTACAGAAGTACAGAACAAACCTGTTGAGAGCAGCGCCTGAACACCTGCGACCAGTTCCACCAACCTCAACCTCAAAGCCTCCGGATGATGGTCCCTTCTTCAGAGCACAACAAGCATTGCAAGGCCTGAGAAGCCGAGGAACGACCCTGTACACTGATTTGACAAGGTCGAATAAGCGTCAACGACATGAAGTGTCCAGTGGAGATGAAGAAGAAGAGTGTGACCAGGAAGGTGAACAACCAGATGACCATGACGGATTACAAGATACCTGGCAGGTGAGTGATGATTGGAAAGCGTGGAGCAGAGTAAGACGAGAACTCTATGCCAGAGCAAGATGATGACATCCCCACGGACCGCTTCACAGATGAGCGAGTGACCAGACCTGGAAGACACATGAATAGAAATGCTGGAAAAGGGCGGACACCAGCAGTG